TAAAGCAATTTGAAGCATGTTTATTTCAAAATGGAAATATGGTTTGGGGGGGGGGCAGAGCTTTGTGACGTCATATTTGAGGGGGGGTCTGACTTTTGTAACGCCGTGTGACGGGGGGTGCGTCAAAAATCGTCCAAAATCGCGTGACGTCATGTATGGACTGCCCCTTAGTGCGGCGGTGAGCGTGCCCGCTGCGCTTGTGATACCCAACCGGCTGTGGACCCGAGTTCGAGTCCCACTCAGGGCCGCCGACACGGGCGACGGGGGGGGGGGGTGGGGTGCTGGGGGCCTCTCCCAAGATCCCGACTCGGCCTCGATGAGAATCCAGCGCGATACGTGAAAGATCCGCAACCGGGGAGACAAAGGCGGCCGGGCACGGTGCCGGCCACAGACACGCGTCCACGTGGCCCGTTTTCTGCCTTCAAAGGTTGCTCGTAGAACTTGCCCCCCAAAACGTCTGTTAAGCCTATAAGGGGGATCTTTGTCTTTGGAATGGTTAGCACGACGCTGGACTCGCAATCCAGAGGTTGCCACTTTTTATGCGATCTGGCGTCACAGTGAGTGAAACAATGGAAGCAGGTTTCTTGAATTTGCCCCAGCTCTGGCCCACTTAACAGTATCAATAAGTGCACCGCAGTGAATCAATCGGTAGGTCGCAGGGGTGTGGTAGAGCCTGGATACTTCCACCTCTTCAAGACGTACTCTCACGAGGAGGACATAACGACCCTTCAGAAGGGCTCTCAATGGCTCCCTGTAGTGGAGGCCTTTCTGTCAGCAATGGCATGAGCAAGACATTGCAGGGTTGCACGTCTTGCCTTCCCCTTTGATTGAGCATTTTCTAAAAATGAGTCTCCCTTCGCTGCCTCCACCACCAAGGGCATAGCTCTGCTAAGTCATAAACTACTCGCCCCCTCACTCGCACAGCGATAGCACTGTTCCACCGGCTCGCATCCCCAACGAGTTTCCTCGGACGATTTTTTTATTTTTTGGCAAGAGGACATGCAACAGCAGAGACATTTATTAAAATGTATATTAATTATTACGATTTCAACTATTTTTATTTGACCAGGTAAAGACCCACTGAGCTAAAAATATATTTTTTAAGAAGCGACCTAGCCACAAATGATAGCTCATTAATGTGGCTTACCACGTGGAAATTTACAGCAGCCCAAATACTCTAAAACGCATTCGGACAACGAACACACTGGATGCGATATTCACGACGCCCGGCTCTACGCCACCCACGGCTACCGTGCGCCAATGTTGCCAGAGCAGCTGCGCGCCGTTTGCAGAGTGCTGTGGGCAATAAAAGTCAAGCGGTTCGATCGCTCCTCCCGGGCCCTTCGCCAAATCGTCCATCACCCTCCTGAGCTCTCCACCCACCCTTCGCCCTCCCTTCTCGTGCCACCCGCCCCCCCTCCTGCCGTGCTCTTCCTGCAGGCTCAACCCACGTGACGATCGCTTTGAAAGGGGTTTTTTTGGTTTTGCGGTCACCGGTCGCATTTGCCTATAGGGAGGGGAGGGGGTGGGGGGAGATAAACCAAAATTGTGCCACCGGTTTGAATGCAAGAGGCTGTGCACGGGAGAGTGATCGGCGTTGAACACGGCATCAGCCATTCGTATGATTATCTAATTTATTATATTACGGCAGCTGGGCGCAGCCCAAAAGGCACGAATTGCCAAGCGGTTAGCAGCAAACAGCACGAATGTACGTGCGATGAAAGTTCTTTCGGCATCGTACGTAGCCAACCGTGCTAATCGGAGTGCCGGGGAGGACAACAAATGATGACGGCGTGTTAGACTAGAGTTTTACGTGTCTTGAATTTAGCGAGGAGGTTATTATTTTTATTCTTCTTCTAAGAACCATGGGGGGGGGGGGGGGGGGGGGGGGTGGGGGGGGGGGGGGGGGGTGGTGGGGTGGGGAACGCGACACGGGGTGGCGATTCCAGACTGGAGCAGCGCGAGCGGAGTAGAGAAGCGCCGTGACCTGCAGCACCGGGGTGGAGCACCGGGGTGGAGTAGCGGATGAGACGGAAGAGACGCGGCGGAGAACAGAAAACGCTCCGCACAATATCAGGCAGACTTGTTCTCGTTACTTTTAAACGCTTTCCGTCGGCGTGATCCCTGATGGGCGAGCGCCCGTCTAAAAATACACACCGTGCGTCACTCGCAAACTCCTCCGGTATCTTTGCGCCTCGAACAAGAACATCGCACTGTTGTAAAAAAAAATGCGACATCCCAACTGCCCAACCCGCCTACTCGGTCGCGGAAGCAAATTATATTTAATAGTTGGTGGTGCTTGCAGAATCTCTCTCTGGCCTTTCCATGTGTCGCAAAGAGAGGCCATTGCCCAAAATGTCACCAATTGTATACTTTTCATTTTTAGGCCAGAGTGTTGCAAACGATTGCGCTGAGTACTCTTTGGTTCTATTGGGTAAAGTCACGTAGGAAAAATAAATAACAAAAATCACGACGTTTCGGCCACAACACTTTACCCAATAGAACCAAAGAGTATGGATCCTTGCAAGTCACGAAAGCTTTAAATCTAGAATTGAATACGCTGAGTGTTTTTTTTTTAGAGTATGTGTACTAGCGCACCACTGCCACCGCTGTACCACCAAATACAATTACCATAATATCGGGCTATTATTCACGTGAATTACCCAGGACGAACTGTAATTCAAACTTCAGAAGAGCAAGCGTGCGTGGGTAATACACATCACGAGAAGGCAACGATGGCCGACGGATCAAGTGACCGAGTGACAACCACCGTGGAGTTGGAGCGATGGAATCAGCTCGCGTGATTGTGCTACGTGGATTTCGACACAGCGCAGGATGGTGCGAGATGCACGTATGTACAGTATGTTGAACTTCTTTCACACCGCACGGAGCCAACCGTGCTAATCGGAGATGCGGGGGAAGGACAACAGACTAAACACACACACAAAAATCCGTTGCTGCAGAAATAAGTTTTCAATCTAGATTTAAAAGTGCAGTGCTCCAGTGGCTTCCTAATAATGCCAACGACTTTGGGAGTCCTTCATCCAGCAGTAGATCGATCAAGGCTGACGGTTATAATGATGATGACAATAACGACGACGACGATGATGATGATGACGATGACACCCCAACAGGCAAATTTGACAAGCGGCCGACGAGCTCCGAAAGGCAACTGCGGTGAGGCTGGGCTCGCTCTTGTTAAAAATCCGGCGCGGGTGAAGACCCCGTAACGCGGCTAGCCACAGCCACGCCAACGGAGCAATCGCGGTCCAAAGACCGCATCATTACTCAGCTAATGAAATCACCGCACCGCGAGCCCCACAGAGATATAACGGCGGCAGATTTAAAAAAAACCTGCGGCTAGTGCGTAAAGCTTGAAAGCTCGGCACGAGGCTTCAAAAGCAACCGGGTAGGAATGCGAGAGAGAGAGGGGGAGGACTCCCCCCTTAACGCGTGTGCCAGGCCCGAGCGAGATTCCCAGTGGCAGATGTTCACGCTCCTGGCCGCTGCTCGAGACTCTTCCCCCACCCCACTGCCACCTCTCTTTCACTCTCTCCTCACAGCAGCGTGAGGCCAATTTATCTGTGTGGGCAGATTCTTCGGCTTGGGTTGAGGATTCACCGTGATTGTAAAAAATAAAAGTAAAATACTTTTACGTTTGTGGACTTGATTAATTATTTATCTGCTCCCGTTAATCAGGCGACTTCTGTGTGGCCACGCCCACTCTCCATCCCTCCCCGTGCAGTAGCATCGATGCGCTTTGTCATCTTCCCGATATAGGAATAGGTTTTACCCTTTTAACTGGCACAAAAACTGACACCTTTATTCAAGGCATCATGTTTGCAATAACCACAACACAAGCAGTCAAAATGCAAACAAAAAATACAACTCTGATAATATGCACTGTCCTTGAATTTGATTGGTGATTTGTGCCAGTTAAAAGGGTAAAACCTATTCCTATATCTTGTTTCTGGCAAAGGAGGTCTCATAATGTAATTGCTCACCCCGAGCCCTCAAGACTCTGATAGTGCGCTGTTTTTGAGTTGTACGCCTTTTGGCGTCTTCTGGTCCAACACAAATGGAGACTAGGCTCGAAGAAAAGCTGTCTCGGGTGTGGACCAATCAAATTCACGGACAGTGCCAATATTATTATCAGAGTTGTCTTTTTTGTTTGCATATTGACTGCTTGTGTTGTGGTTATTGCAAACATGATGCCTTGAATAAAGGTGTCAGTTTTTGTGCCAGTTAAAAGGGTAAAACCTATTCCTATATCTTGTTTCTGGCAAAGGAGGTCTCATAATGTAAATCTTCCCGGTTGTCGTCTTTCCTGACCCTTTTGCTCCGGTTTTTCCGTTCCTTTTCCATGTTCTTATGTCTTCTCTTTTCCCTTTCCCAGTCCCTTTTCATTTTCCATACATTACATCCATGACTGTACGGTACTGTACTCTAATTCCCGTGGTGTGCTCCGGGTAAAGAGTTTATCTGATAAAACTACAAACTAATTAACCTAACAGGGCGGACAACGGCTCGCCACAACGGTCTCGGTCCATGTGGGCAGAGATCTTGTCCTGAGGACCACAACTGTCTCACAGAACCGATATTCTCCAGATGATCACAAGATATATGATTCTATGTTGCTGCGACTAAATGTACAACAATTCAAGCCCTCATCCCCCAAAGCGATTTCATGAATTGTCACGATTTTGATTGCGAAAATCGAATTTCTCCATGCCCGTTTTAACCGTCTCGTTTGTATTGTATCTTCTTCGACTCTTTTGATATAAAAAAACGCGTGCGCTCCCTGAGCCGTATATAAACATTTCATTTGCACACGACGCAAAAAAACACACACACACACACATTCGCAGGTAGAGAGTCAACCCAAACATTGGCGAATCATCACCACACACCTCCACCGATTGACGTCCCCCGCGGGTGAAGCATCGCCCAGCAACCTACCGACGTGTCCGCCGCGCGTTCTTACGCGCGCCCCCGCTCACCAGATAAAGTCGCGGCAGTGCGAGCAGTAGGTGGGCTGGCGCAGGTACGTGGCCATGAACTTGTGCCCGTTGACCTGGTGGACGCGGCGCCGCACAGCGCCCTGCCGCTTGCGGGGCCGCACGCGCTCCGTGAACACGCGCCCCTCCTGCTCGCTCTCCTTCGGGGCTGTGTGGAAGGGGGCGACACGCGCGGACGTCAGCTGCGTGGCAATCGCCACGCGGCGACGGTGATGATTACGACGGTGACGACGGCGATTCTCGCGAATTGTCTCCAATCTCAAGCCCCCGACTTCCCACAAGCGAGCTCCCAACACGAGCGGCGTTGGGCTGGTGTCGAGAAGTCCAACTGTCAAGCTGTTCCCGCCCCTGTTTGTAGAAGTTTTGTTTTGATGACAAGCGTTGTATTTACGCTTTTCAGCAAAAGTGCAGGAGCGAAGCACGCGGTTAGTGGGTAATTGGCAAGCAAGCACAAAATAAGACAGCTGTGTTCCCCAGCCATGGTCTAAAGGGAGCCAAAACAAAAGCTAAAGGAGGCTGAGAAGAACGAGGGTGAAGGATATGAGGTGGTCGAAGAGGAGGAAAATGAGATGGGTAGAGATCCTGTTGGCAAATGTTGCCACAAGGCGTAGAGTTCACCCCAAGATTGCATCTTCATTGTTCAACATACACACGGATAAAAACAAAAATGAACAAAATACTTTCGTCTCTGTATTAAATGAAACGCTCACGCATGTTTAACTCTCACTGCATCATGAATGCACCTGCAACAGACAACAAAAGGAACCGCATTGCCGATCTTCGAATGTGCAGTCGTACAAGGGTTCCTCTGCCTCTGGTCACGTGACACGTCTGCCATCTCGTGGTCAAATCTGGACCAAAACGCTTTAGCACGTGAGTAGCGGGGACATATCCTCTCCTTTACCGCGCTATTTTGACCAAAATCGCAACAACATTGAGGTTACGTGATTATGGAAAGTCTCATTACTTATTGAAACACATTGGTATATTTTCTGCCAAAGCCATCGCTAATTCCACGACTGTCACAATCGCCGCCACCAGAACAATCGCCGGTACGATCACACCACGACGGCCACTACCACCCTCTCACCTGTTACCACCTTTCGCTTCTGTCAACTCTCCGCACTCCGGACTAATAATGGAAGTGCCAGGATAATCAGATTTAAAAATATATACGTATTTTTACAGTCAAATTGTCTGGATTCCATGCAGAAAGCAATAAATTAAGCTTTATAGCACAGTAAAAAAAGTATTTAAATAGACCAAAGGACACTCAATCTTAAATGTGATTTTAAACGACCTGTTGCCGGTTGCTAATGAAAAGCACTGCGCCAAGACCCGTTGCCAAACAGCGGCAAGTCTAAAATGTAATTTTAGCATTTTGAGAACTCTTGGTACAAATATGAATCACTGCAGTCACGAAAGCTTTAAATGAAAATTGAACTCTTGGTACACTTGTGAATTTGAAACCAATCACCATAACATTCCGCCGCCTATTAAATCCTCATCCTCCCCTGTAGCACCTCCATGCTTTCTTAATATAAATGTTATACACAGTCCTTGCTCAGTCTACTGCTGGATGAAGGCCTCCGAATGTTCGATTGATCATGGGAATTATTCGCTGGTCCAGTGTGGGATTGGTCAAGGGGGATGTGGGGTGGCTCAGGACTGGGTCATATTTCACTCGCCAATGATTTCACCATTTTTTTTATTATACTATTTAGAATAGCACAGTTAGTTGATCGGCAGGTCGCGTGAGGTGGGGTAAAGTGTGGGCGACTCCCACCTCTTCCAGTACGTATGACCTACGTGGAAGAGTAGGCCCAAAATACGCTTGAGAGCAGTGGTTCTTCATCTGGGGTGCACACACCTGCTGGGGGTGCGGGATGCCCTTTCTGAGACCCAGAAAGGCTGCAGTGAATGTTAAGAATCTGCTTTAGAGGGAGCTCTCGAGGGTCCTTCTGCCGACAGTGGCATGAGCAAGCAATTGCAGGGCTGCACATTTACCGAGTACCTTTATAGAAAAAAATAATTGCTGGATCCGTCCAAAGCTTCCGGAGAGCTCATCAGCGCGACGCCACCGCGCTGATCTCATTCTTAGGGAGCCGTTCCGTTTATAGTGGCCAGCCCTTCCAGTGCCATCTTCTCCTGCCATTATTCCAGAAGATGCCACCCCACCGCACCGGGGATGGGGGACACAGAAAGCGCGCATCGCCTACACCATCACCGCCGCCTTCTGCAGCAGTTGGCAGATGCATCACACCGTCACCACCGCCCGCCCGCCCGCACGTCCGTCCGCCCAACGCTGGACACGAATGCTTTATGGGCTCCGTGGGCTGCCCGTGAATGAAGCGAGAGCGAGTTGCCTGGCTCTTAGGCAATGAGAGCTATAAATTGTCCTTGGGTCGTCCTTGCATTTATGATGATGATGATGATAATAATAATAATAGTAAAACTTGCGTGAATATTGCGGCCAAAATGTAACGAAATATCTCAGAGCACGTTTTTGTTTAAGCTTAGGGGAACACCTAATGGTAGCTTGACCCCTGTGACACGACATGTCATCAAACTAAAATTTATATTATAATGAATTATATTTTCAGCCGCTTTTGTCAATCCACTGCTGGATGAAGGCCTCTCCAAGTGATGTCGGTCGTGGGCGGGGGGGGGAGTAGCTTGACCATACTTCATCATGCTGGTCAGTGAGGGTTGGTGATACACCCCAAGTATTAAGCAGGAGGCGCCTCTGGGGTCGTACCACGAACCTCGGCAACAAGTGGCAAACGTGCAACCCCTGGGGCACGTCATTGCCAAATGTTTACGCACAACGGCCGTATAATGGGCGTTTTCTTGTTCGACGTTGATCCAACGTTGAACCAACGGTCTCAAGCACATGCCAACGTTGTCTCAACGTTGGCTTGTGTAAGGGGAGCCCAGGATGTTTTGTCCCTGATTGCAAACCGAACACAGCTCGCCGCTAGACTGCAAGGCGCAGCGTGCAAAGGGTTCACGCGGAGTAGGATTCTTACCTTGGATATTATTTTTTTCTCCCTTAATTGACAAAGCCAGCTAGGCTAAAAGGGGGAGGGCGGGGAGGATTGGGGACGTTGCCCTCTGCACAATGGATTTCCTCGCTCTTTGTATGCGCTCTGCATTTCCGCCGTGGTGGCAGGTTTGTTGAGCGTGAGTCACGGCGAGGGATGATGCTGCTGCTGCTGCTGCACAATTCAATTCACACCATCTCACATGTGCACACATATGGAAATACGAAAATAGCTGAAACGTCTGCACCTCGCGAGGGGATTGCAATGGCGTCAGTTTTTTTTTTGTATTGTTGTTGTTAACGTGCATTGAACGCAAAACGGGTTTAAATGATAATCTTTTGATCTTGAATTTTTCCCTCCGATTTACTGAGTTGTTGCTCTGTACAAATGCATGTCGTGCGATGAACAAGAATCCATTTGGAAATCTCCAGGCCCTTCGCCCCTTCTACCCCCCACTCTCCCCCCACCCCGTGTCAGAGAGAACGGCTGCTGCGGAATAAATGTTTTCACAGGGCTTTGCCCCAAACATCTCTCCAATGCGGCCTCTTACCCTTTTGCCATGCACTCGTGCTACGACAATATTGAGGAACAAAACGTAAATGAAAATGATTTTGAGATTAATATTTGTTTTTTTTTTCTAACTGCAGGTGTGGCCTCGACTCCGTGAAAAAAAAAAGTCGCCTTTCTAAGCCCTTCCATAACATCACTGCAATTAACATCGGTCACTCGGCCACTCTCGGGTAGCGGTATGTGCATTCTATGTACGATACATACACATGCGCTGCATGTTATAAATCGCACGATTTATTACGCTTAGAAAAATACATGCGCGCACGCGCATCAACGCGCACGCGTGTAACCAGATGAACCCTCCTACGACCCCCCCTCCCTCCCCTCCCCCAAAGCAAGGGAATGAAATTGTGTGCAGTGTAAACAGGCAATTTACAATTAAGCCATAATGATCAACGTGATTACTCAAAGATGATCGGAGGCTGGAGGGAGGAGAGCGATTGGTGGGGAGGGACTGCACAGTCGGCACCTCTCTGTGACCAAAGACAAAGATTCCCCGCATAGCCTGACCAGGCTGTTGTGTGGTACTGTTAAGTGCTGTTAGCGAGCACCTATGAAGGTCGGCACGGCACACGAGGGGGTGGGTGGCCAGCACGGTGCCCGGCCGCTCCCCACTGAACCACAGACACGCGCACACACACACACACACTCCAATGTAATAGCTCCTCACGTCTCAGCTCGAGTGTTGATGCATTGCGGACACCTTAAGATCCAGGGGCGTTTTCAAAAACGACGGAACCCTTAGAGAAATTGAAAGTGGTCTGTAATCATTTGCTATGCCCTGCGGTGACATTTACGAGCTCCAGCAAGAGTCACCGATTTAGCCGAAGCGTGCGCGGTTTTCCCTCTGCGGGCGCTTGTTTTTTTCTTTTTGGAAAGGCAACCTTCCCTGCCCACGTGTACTCCAGGTGCCCCCGAGATCTGGGCCGCAGTCTCCACATTTCAGTAAAAAGAGTGTAGAGAGATTCATGTTGCTCCCTTGAGAGCCGCTGGCGAGCCGACGAGTTCATGTATTTTTCGTGTATGTTTTTTTTAATATGCTGCCAGTTTCGATGCCGCGCGTCTGAGTTTGAGATGGTCTGTGCACGCAGACAGAGAGACACGTGCTTCGTTCACATTATAAACTGTACGTTCAATGCTGCGATGGTGTGGCAAAAGGGAGGCTGAGAAGCAGGAGGGTCAGGTGAGATGGAGAGGCAGAAAATAAAGTTTAGAAATAGGGGGGAGGGGGTGGGGGGAAGTGTTTGGTTGGCTCATGAGTTTGTTCGTATGGCACGATGTTTGAGTTTTCATGCCATGGGTTAGGACGGCTGAGTTGGCACTGACGAGACTCTTGAGTTCAAATCCAGGAAGCTGCCTGTGATTAACCGGGTTTCATCTTGGGGAAGCCTGCATTCAGCGGTCGGTTCAAAAGCTGGGTCAGATACGCACCCCCGATTAGCCACAGACGGTGGTGCGAAAGAAGTTCAACATGCATACAGATTTCATTTCCCGCCGTTGTTTTCTGTGGCAGGTGAGTGAGCTCAGATAAGAATAACGAAGTGTACTGATCACAGTGCCATCACTCTTATGATCTAAACGAAAGTAAACTTTTTGATTTAAAGCTTTCGTGACTGCAGGGATTCATATTCTTGGTTCTTTCGGTTAAGTCATTGGAAGGGTTTTATAAACCATTTCGGGTCTTAATTGATTGTTCACGCTTACGGTGGCTTTCAGACCGCATCCATTATTGTCGTCTCCCCCCTCCTCTTTTCCGAACATAGATGGACTCATCCATCTGAACAAACTGCCAAATCGCTCTCCGTGGTGCTAACGTTAAAAAACGCCACTTTTTTCAAATTTTCTTGCTGTGGTTTTCACACCTGATGATGACTGCTTGTGTTGCAGTCGAAACGTCGTGAGAATTTTATTGTTTTATATTTTTATTATTTTATTGTTTCCCTTCTACGTGACTTTACCGATAGAACCAAGAATATTAAACTAAAACTATGGTTTTTTTACCAGATAAGGCCCTATGAGCTATATAGTTATTTTTCAGAAGCGACCTGGCCACAATTGATAGCTCACGAAGTGGCTTATCAAGTGGAAATGTATAGCAGTCAAATACTCTAAAGGCATATTTCTAAATGTGTAGGGAAACCGGAGGAGCACGCAACCACGGAGCAGCCACGGAGTCCCATGCAACCTCCAAATATATCCAGCTGAATCCACGACCACCTGTATACAAGGCGAGGTGGTTAACATCTCGCCACTTTAATTTGTTCTCCTGCTGTAGTCGCTGACTGCTTACACTCTTTGCCTTTGGGCCTGCGATTAGAAATTGTGATTTTTTTTAATCAACACGAGAGGTGGCCAGGTGGCTCAGAGGTAAAGAGCCGCTGAGCTGGCACCGCAGAGACTCTGGGGTTGAATCCAGGAAAGCGGCCTATGATTAAACTGCGTTCATGTAAAGTGCGTTCATCATTTCATCCCGGCCACCAATGACTGCACACACACACAAAGCATCATACTAAATGTGGTTCTGCACTTCAATTCGCGAAAGTCGAGTAACGGGAGTTGAGAATATTAGTTTGGCTCTCATGCAAGTTGTAAATCGCACAATGTATCGCGCGTAAGAAAAAATATAAATGCATGTGCACGCTCATCAACACGCATGTGTGTAACCAGATGAACCTCCTATGACCCCCCCCCCCCACAATCACCCCCAAAGGAAGGGAATGTGGGGTAAACAGGCACTTTACAATTAAGCCACGATGATCAACGTGATTACTGCAAGATTATCGGAGGGTGTAGGGAGGAGAGGGATTTGTGAGGAGGGGCTGTGCAGTCGGCACCTCTCTGCGACCAAAGACAAAGATCCCCCGTATAGCCTACACAGACTTTTGGGACAAGTGCTTTTAGCGAACAACATATGTAGAGTGGATGGGAAAGTGCTGCCCTCAACTGTTTGATCAGATGTTAGTTGTAAGAATGTTATAGGGGTAGTTCAGTGATATCCACTTCCCTGGCTAACGTTGTACTGCTCTGTGAAGAAATGCAAATGGATACTTCATCCCATGACTCGATACAATCAGCACGATATGGATACAAAATTTCAAGGAATTTAAACTTGGAACTCCGATGAGACCTCTGAAAGCCACAGCCATGGCAAATGGAAACGTTTCATCAACCACGCACTGCCATTCTGCCAACCAAATCCACCCATCCTCTGGTGAGCCACCTATCCCTGACTTCAATTTTAATTCCATTACAAGCGGTGATTTTCCCTTCGTCTTAGGTGCGAATGTCAGCGCGAGATCAAGACTTCTGCCAGAGCCGGCTGTGGGATTTTAATAAACCCCGAGGCTTTTCATTTGTTGCTATTTTTGTGCCGTGGTTATGGGGGAAGTCGAGGGAGCTGGGCGGAGCTGGGGGGAGCCGGGGGGAGCCGGGGGGAGCCGGGGGGAGCCGGGGGGAGCCGGGGGAGCCGGGGGGCGCCGGGGGGAGCTGCGTGGAGCTGGGAGGAGAAGAGCAGAAAGGAGAGAGAACAATCAGATACAATCATCAGCGATGGTACGGTCGGATCCAATTCAGGCAGAGTTGTGAACTCCACTTGGGATTTCGTAAGAGCAGGTGACTTGATGGGTTGCCAAATGATTTCGAGTACGATATAAATAATGGGGCATTTCCCGAAGTATAACAGAACACGGGATATATTAGACATTAGAAATATTAGAAATATGCACAATGGCAAGGGAAATTACATCGACGTAGAAAAAGGGCAGCGCGTGGACTCGAGAACATTGGAGAGGTCGCATTGACTGTTGAGAAAAGTGAGTGGCCTTAGGTAGGACACCGTCACGAGAAGGGACGATGACCGATAGTCAAGAACACTGACGGAGTGGCAGTCCAAGGAGAGAACACGCTCGAGGGGATACGTCCACCCGTGGAGATGGAGCGATGAAATCAGCTCATCTGCAGGAGCTATCCGGATCGCTTGCATCGCGTGACCGTGAGAGATGGCGACGGCTTGGAGAGGCCTTCATTCTGGGAGTGGATAGATCGCGGCTGATGGTGATGATGATCATGATGACAATGGGAAGGCGGAGGTGATGCAGCCAGCACCAGTCGTTGCTGCGGGGGAGTAGGGGCTTGTGCCAGACCCGTTCTATCAGAAAATCTGCATGGATTTATCCGCCAGAAAACCTGGGATGGATTTCATTGTTTACCAGACTCACGGAGCCATATCTAGTGCCTGGCTATGACTGGCTTTTCTACGGCTTTTTTTTTTGGCGATAGTAACTTTTAGCTGAATGTTTTACCAAATGTTGTCTTGGATTGCGCTCTCGGCGTAGTTTCAGGAGATGAACAATACATTCGGAACTCTCGCAGGGCAGTGCAAATGCGTCGTGATAGGGAAAAGCCCACGGAAGCGGATATCACAGAGCTGCCTTTGAATTTACTTCAAGGTGACCTCTGTTCCACACAGTAGGGGGCAGGACTACCCCCCCCCCCCCATCCATGCTGCTAGAGAGAATAAGGTTCACACCATGATAGTCAAACCAATATTTGTAACTGTAAGAGATGACATTTATCCGCATGATGTGCAGAGTCAAATTTAATGGAGTGTGCAGTAATTGATGATCGGGGCCCTTGATTGGATTATGCCGGCAGGGGCCCTATTTGAGGCCTAATTGGCAATTGGCTGAGACCATCAACTCACAACCCTTGTGAGTCTGGTTTAATCATAGGCAGCTGAAACCTGGATACCAACCAAGGATCTTAATGGTTCTCACTCAGGGTTCTGACAGCGCCGGGAATTCGTAAAGGTTGATTAGTGAGGCACTTGGATGGAGTCTTAGAACAAGTTACAGACTTCATAGGTCCTTCATTTAAATTCAGAGAGAGGGTCCGTGCAAACACATGGATTGGTCTCATGAAAATAAAGGCAAAAAAGCACTACACGGCGCATCCACGTATGTGAATCCATTATGGAAATGTAGCTTGGCGGGAGAGCTGCAGAATTTCACATTCATTTAAAGTCTGCTAGGAATACGGCGGGTCTTAGAATTTTTTTTACGGGGGTTTCTGAAACAGCCATCTCACTTTCTCCGTGCTGTGAAGAAGGGGCCACCCAATAACCCAGTGATGAAGCCAACGTCGTTGTTTGTTCCTCGTACGTCAAGGAATTTGATTTGTCTGCCGAGGTCTGCGTTGTACGGCAGTGCGATGTTACGCTATTACAATTTTGATAGACCTATAGGCCGGGTTTTATGGCCCGCGGAAAAGTGGCCACTCTGTCTCTCGCCCCTGGTAGAACTTCATTCGACTGTGCATCATACTCAGCTCTGTTACAAGGACGAGCACAGCCCAGGGCATCGCAGGCTGTGATAGTGCAAACCAACCAGAACAAAGACGACAACAAATAATAATTATAATTTACAACGAAACCCGCGCCCAAACATTAACAGGCGGTCATTTGAGACGAACGGAACATCGTCTCTTACCATCTCCGACGGTTCCCGTCAGGTCGATGACGATCAACACTTTGCCTTCCGGCTCAAGATCCACCTGAAAGTGAACGGACAAAAAAAATGTTGATTACAGATTAATTACAGACAGCAACGCCACCATCGCTAACAGACACACGCACGCGCACGCACACGCGCGCGACACTCGGGCGGGCGGGCGCGCGCGCGACACCTCCGCCTGTGAGTAACGCTTTGATAAAAATTTCACAGGCGACCTTTGCTTTGGAAAATTGACACATAGTTAACGAGTGCCATTTACTCGCCTGCCAATTATGCGCATATTTAAATGTAACTGAAACCGGGGGGGCTGGGGGGGGGGCCTTCAATAATAAGCGGATTTGCTAACGGTTAATTGATGAATATGATTACGTTGAATATAAAACGTGCAGACGCGAGTTCCAAATATATAATAACACTCCGCCTTTATTATGCCCTTTAACGGCGGACGTGTACATCTAAATAATTGTTCTGAATGCACGCAATATGCTAATTACATTGTGGTCCAATTCACTTTCTGAGCGGGTGGGTGGTAGACAGCAGGGGCAGCGGCGGCGTTGGGGGTTTGCCCCCCCCTCGACTCGCCTGGCCTCCCCCCCCCGACCTCCCTACTGTGAGTGATCCATATTCGTGGAAATATTATTCCTGTACACCATACTTGTCCAAGCAAAAGGCCCAAAAGCCCCCGCCAAAAAAAGGCCATATGGCCAGCAAAAACCAACGGTGCATGTTGAAGCGACAAAAGTTGACACGTTTCTGGAGTCGAGCGCGGGGATAATGAACTTGGGGAAAAGAGAAGCGTGGGAGGGCCCATTTCAAAGTGAGTGAGGCAGATGACGAGGGGAAGAGGAAAGAAATGGAATTGTTTTTTTTTAATTGGGTGCATTTGTGAACAATAGCCATATCATACATTATTAGTACATCTAATCGGCATGATCATTGGTTCACTGCAGCTCCCTACAAGGCGTGCGGTGAAGTGAGGAGATGTCCCGTGTGTGTGCTCGACATTTGAAGGCCTGGAGACCAGAGCCGGTGATTTAGCCGACAACGGTGTTCATCAGGGAGGCAGTTCCATATCCGAACAGCAGAGTGAAAAAGAAGAAGAAGGGCGCTTCTGTCCAGCGAGCAATCTTCTGGAAACTGGGGGGGGGGGGGGGGGGGGGGGGGGCGGGGATGGGCAAAGGGCGTGTGGCTTGGCAGGTTTGCGTAATCGGGTGGCACGGCATCTTTCATATGGGGTGGAAGCATGGCCTGAAGGTCTGCAAGGTTACCTGAAGGTCTCTGTTGCTACCTGAAGGTCTGCCTTGCTACCTGAAGGTCTCTGTTGCTACCTGAAGGTCTCTGTTGCTACCTGAAGGTCTCTGTAGCTACCTGAAGGTCTGCGTTGCTACCTGAAGGTCTGCGTTGCTACCTGAAGGTCTCTGTTGCTACCTGAAGGTCTCTGTTGCTACCTGAAGGTCTGCGAGGCTACCTGAAGGTCTCTTGCTACCTGAAGGTCTCTTGCTACCTGAAGGTCTCTGTTGCTACCTGAAGGTCTCTTGCTACCTGAAGGTCTCTGTTGCTACCTGAAGGTCTCTGTTGCTACCTGAAGGTCTCTGTTGCTACCTGAAGGTCTGTGTTGCTACCTGAAGGTCTCTGTAGCTACCTGAAGGTCTCTGTTGCTACCTGAAGGTCTCTGTTGCTACCTGAAGGTCTCTGTTGCTACCTGAAGGTCTGCGAGGCTACCTGAAGGTCTCTTGCTACCTGAAGGTCTCTTGCTACCTGAAGGTCTCTGTTGCTACCTGAAGGTCTCTGTTGCTACCTGAAGGTCTCTGTTGCTACCTGAAGGTCTCTGTTGCTACCTGAAGGTCTCTGTTGCTACCTGAAGGTCTCTGTTGTTACCTGAAGGTCTCTGTAGCTACCTGAAGGTCTCTGTTGCTACCTGAAGGTCTCTGTTGCTACCTGAAGGTCTGCGAGGCTACCTGAAGGTCTCTTGCTACCTGAAGGTCTCTTGCTACCTGAAGGTCTCTGTTGCTACCTGAAGGTCTCTGTTGCTACCTGAAGGTCTCTGTTGCTACCTGAAGGTCTGCGTTGCTACCTAAAGGTCTCTGTTGCTACCTGAAGGTATCTGTTGCTACCTGAAGGTCTCTGTAGCTACCTGAAGGTCTCTGTTGCTACCTGAAGGTCTGCGTTGCTACCTGAAGGTCTCTGTTGCTACCTGAAGGTCTCTGTTGCTACCTGAAGATCTGCGTTGCTACCTGAAGGTCTGCGTTGCTACCTGAAGGTCTGCGTTGCTACCTGAAGGTCTCTGTTGCTACCTGAAGGTCTGCGTTGCTACCTGAAGGTCTCTGTTGCTACCTGAAGGTCTCTGTTTCTACCTGAAGGTCTCTGTTGCTACCTGAAGATCTGCGTTGCTACCTGAAGGTCTGCGTTGCTACCTGAAGGTCTCTGTTGCTACCTGAAGGTCTCTGTTGCTACCTGAAGGTCTGCGTTGCTACCTGAAGGTCTCTGTTTCTACCTGAAGGTCTCTGTTGCTACCTGAAGATCTGCGTTGCTACCTGAAGGTCTGCGCTGCTACCTGAAGGTCTCTGTTGCTACCTGAAGGTCTCTGTTGCTACCTGAAGGTCTCTGTTGCTACCTGAAGGTCTCTGTTGCTACCTGAAGGTCTCTGTTGCTACCTGAAGGTCTCTGTTGCTACCTGAAGGTCTGCGTTGCTACCTGAAGGTCTCTGTTGCTACCTGAAGGTCTGCGTTGCTACCTGAAGGTCTCTGTTGATACCTGAAGGTCTCTGTTGCTACCTGAAGGTCTCTGTTGCTACCTGAAGGTCTCTGTTGCTACCTGAAGGTCTGCGTTGCTACCTGAAGGTGTACCTGATGGATGAGACGAAACGTTCAGTCCTCAACATGGGTGAAGGAATCGATGAATGTACGTATGTACGTTTACTTGTTGAACTTCTTTCGCACCGTGCATAGCCAACTGTGCTCATCGGAGGTTGCGGGGAAGGAAAACAAACTAAACATAAAAAGCAGTTCTGAAGAAATGAGTTTGTCAATCTAGATTATTTTAAAGTGCATCGCCCCAGTGGCTTCCTAATATCGCGAGGAAGAGCGTTCCAGACGGCCGCAGAAGCGCATCTGAAAGTGCACGAAGTTCATGGTGATGAGTAGCCATAGTAGACGCTATAGAAGAGCGATGATGCTGGGACGACTGATCGCCAGTGGGTGAGCGAGCGGCTACAGTGAATCAGCGAGTGTTGGACCATCAACAAACCCTGACTGCTATACTCTGAATTCTACCCAGCGCAGTGAGGTGTGTACACTTCTGGGTGCTCCATCCCATATATGACAACAAGATATCAAGCTTCGGCCAAATTCGTGGTTTGTATGGCGTAGTGGAATGAAATGTTTGGGGTTAAAGAAGGCTTTGGCATGCAAACAAAACAAAAAAACCCCAAGCTACTCCGATGGGCCCTTGACCAAATTCGCATGGATGCACCTTCAAAAACGTTTGGTGGCATTTTGTCAGCCACGTGACTTCCTACACGTGTCACGAGTTGCTTTCCCAGCGTTGGAATTGCGTCTGCTCCCAGCGGCGAACGGAGGTGATGATTGCACGCAAATTGCCGCTAAGATTATTATCGCCGCTTTGTGCGCGTTAAAAAAAAGCCCCAATTAAAAGATGCACACAAAATCATCGTACAATGTTTGCGTTTTTCGCCTTGGACAGGGTTGCATCATTATCAATCATGTTGGGCAGTGCCGGATTAAGCTAGTGCGGGGCCTGTAGCATATGTTATAAAGGGGCCCTAAATAAACAAATATATGAAAATACAAATTGCTTAAATTTTGATTTAAAGCTTTTGTGACTGCAGTAATTCATATTCTTATTATGTTGTTGTTTCTCTTCAACGTGACTTTACCGAAAAAACTAAGAATACAAATTGCTTACTTGAATAGTAAAGTAATTGTATTTTTTCACTTGCTATACAGCCAGATAATACGACAAATCGCTCACTTTAAACACCCAGTCGTTCATAAAAGTTGAAGGCAGTATAGTACTATAGTAATAGAGCAAGTGTAGTATCACTGAACCGGAATCGATCGCTTGAAAAGCATTTAGCGCGGGGCCCTTGAAAGTGCGGGGCCCGAAGCATGTACAGCTCATTTTGCGACTAGGATAATCCGCCACTGATGTTGGGCAACCCAGCAGCATTTGTTTAACAACCCTAAACTCTCCTGATGAGAGCGCAAAAAAAATCTAAACCGGTCGAGTGTTTGCTTGCGACAACAAATGCTGCTGGAAGATATTGGACTGTAAGGCTAATAGGCTGACGGACTATAAATGCGTTATATGTACACGGTGACACACATACCTTCTCAATTTGAAACCTTCTGCATCTAATCAGTGAACGCTGTTGCTGATCGACTCCTGATTCGCCATTCAGAGCAGCGCAACCCTCCTTGCTAGAGAATGGCCCACACAAGCGGAAATCACAGAGCTACCTCTGAAATCCCATCAAGTTGATCTCTGGTCTACACACAGTAGAGGACAGCACTTTCCCACTCACCCTGCATATGAGAGTAACCCACATCTCCATGACAGTCAAGCCAAATATTTACAATCTCCAGAGATCAAATTTAGCCACGTAAAATGCAGAACCAAACATTTTATGTGCAGTCATTGGTCACCAGGTTGAAACCATCCATTAACTACACCTGGGGACTTGATTTAATCGCAGGCAACTGACCTGAATTGGAACCCAGGGCCTCAGCGGTGCCATCTCAGCGTTCTGAGTTAATGTGTAGTGGCCTTGGAGGCGGGTGTGTGTACATAAATGCTACGCAAGAAACTGCAAGTGCAAGCCAGCAGTATAATTCCATTAGAAAATTGCGCAAATATCTTCTGACAGGGTGAGTCTGTCCCCGGGATCTTTAAGATAAAATCAATCAAAATTGGCAGTGGTCCACACACACAAATGTATAATAAACTCAACATGTTGGTATTTAACACGACCTTGTAACAGATATATATACATATTACAACCCGATGTGTTGGCCTATAACC